GTAAAGGTCATAGGTTTGATTTAAAGATTTAATGGTGAAGACGACCATGTTGATATTTATCCTCTCTCCTTCAAACATCCCTTCAATCAAAAGTTCCAAGAATTTTCATTATTTTCTAGGTAATGATGTTTAGGTGATAAGCAATGACAAACTCCCACATTTGTGTATTTTGATTTTTTCTGAAAATTGTACTAGTCAACAGTGCAATTTCAAACCAAGCAGACTGATTTATGGACATCTGTTGATGACTATTTTCTGCTTTTGAGAGATTATTTTGGGGATAATCAGACAAATGGCATTAAAGTTGGCTGTACTCTGAATTGCTCCTTTCCTTTCCAAAAAGGTTTTTACATTTTTTTTATTGCAGTAAATATATAACAAAACATTTGCCATTTCAACATTTTTTACCTGTACAATTATGCGACATGTAAAAAATACATGTATTTTTAACTTTTGATAATAGTTTAGGTGAAAGTTTACCTAGCAAATTAGTTTTCAGTTCAGTAATTTATACACATTTTGTTTCATAACATTGGTTGCAATCCCCTCAATGTAACAGCACTGCTTCTTCTTCCTTCCAGGGTTCTACATGTCCATTTATCCTTTTTTCCTGGTCCTTCCTGCCTTCTGAGCTTTGTTTTTCGGGCAAATATTGTCCTTTTTGTCTCATGTGGTTGATTATATTGAGTGGTATATTTCTCCATGGTGTTGTTATTTACTTTATAGGCATATCTGTTATTTGGCTGAAAGTTGATCCTTGGAGGTGTATTCAGTTCCAGGATTGAAGAATATCTAAGGACCACAGTCTCGAGGGTTCCACCGGTGTCTATCTGACCAGTAAGTCTGGTCTTTTTTATGATTTTGCATTTTGTTCTACATTTTTTTTTTCTCCCTTTCTGTCCAGGACCTTCTATTGTGATCCTAATCAGAGTGGTCAGTAGTGGTAGCTGAGTACCATCTAGTTCTAGTCTTGGGGTAGTGGGAGCTGTGGTTCGTGTAGTCCATTAGTCTTTTGGACTAACTGCTTCCTTGAGTCTTTTGATTTTTTCACTCTTCTTTGCTCTGGATGAGGGGAGACCAATAGTTGCATCTTAGAGGGCCACTTGCAAACTTGAGACCCCAGTTACTACTCATCAAAGTAAGATGTAGAACATTGTCTTTGTGGACTGTGCTATATGAATTGACCTAAAAAAAAAAAAAAAACAAAAAACAAATTCACTGCTGTCAAGTCAGATCTGACTCATTGTGACCAACTGAGCTAGATGTCCCCTAAGATTGTGGTCCTAAGTTCCTAAGCCCAGTCATTCATTCCCTCAAGGTGTTTGGCTATGGTTAAGATGTTTTCAGAACTTTGCCTCCTATATGCTCTACAATATCCTCAGATATATTTTCAGCACATACAAATATATTTGCAGAAATATCTTCCGCCAAACTTATATAAAATCGTGGGTATACTTTCGTTCACTTTCCCACATTTGTTCAGTTTGCATGTCTGCCTATCTATCTACTTGTAGATGTTATTACTGCTATTGCAGGATTGCATATGTATTCACCTTTGTTGTCCTTTACTCTTGCGCACTCCCCACTGACTTCCTTTGCCAGTGGTCATGTGGCGCTGCCCTCTCCCTTATTGCATATTGCCTTTCCCTTTACCCAAGGTAATGTGTGTCTACTCTCTAGTTAGTGATTTCTCCTCCCTTCACCCCCCATCTTTGGTAACCATCAAAGAATGTTTTGGTGTATAAATCTTTTCTTGACTTTTTATAATAGTGGTCTCATATAATATTTGTCCTTTTGTGATTGAAATGTCCTCTAGGTTCATCCATGTTATGAGGTGTTTTGAGAATTCTTCATTATTCTTTGACATTGTGTATTGTCCCACTGTGTACCATACCATTGTTTGTTTGTCTGGTCATCTGATGATGGGTACTTAAGTTTTTTCCATCTTTTTGGTATTGAGGACCTCAATTACTTTCAACATGTTCTGCAACCATCACCACTAACTGTTTCCAAAATTTTCCATCACCATTAACAGAAGCTTAGTGCTCCCTAAGAAATGACTCCCCTTTCCCTTTTCTTCTCACCCACTCCTGGTAACCATTAATAAATATTGGTCTTTATGCAATTGTCTAATCTAGATATTTCACTTAAATAGGGCCATAAATTATTTGTCCCTTTGTGAAATTAATTTCTTTTACTCAGCATGTTTTCAAGGTTCATTCATGTTATGCAGCAGGGCTTCCTTTCTCTTTATGTCAGAGTAATATTCCACTGTAAATATATATCACATTTTGTTTATTCATTCATCTGTTGATAGATTTAGATTGTTTATACAGTACTACAATGAATACTACGGTACAAGTATCTGTGTTCCTGCTTTCAATTCTTTTGGGTGTATAACTCTGCATGGAATTACTAGATAACATGATAATTCAATTCTTTTTGAGGAACTGTCAAACCGTTTTAATGACTGTACTATTTTACAGTACCACCAGTGATAGATGAGGGTTCCAATTTCTCTACTTCATTGCTAACACCTGTTGTTTTTAATTGTTTGTTTGTTTTGTTTTTCACAGCCATCTTAGTGGGGCCAAAATGGTATCTCACTGTGATTTTGATTTGCATTTCCCTAATAACTAATGATGCTGAACATCTTTTTATGTGCTTGTTGACCATTTGTATTTCTTCTTTGGTTAAAAGTCCTTTGCCCATGTTTTTGATTGTGGTTTTTGTCTTTTTGTTGTGAAATTGTAGGTGCTCTTTACATCTTCTGGATGTTAAACTGACATAGATACTTTCTCCCCATCTGTAGGTTGTCTCTTCACTTTGCTGATAAAGTCTTTTAATAAAAAAAACTTTTTAAGTTTGATGAAGTCCAATTTGCCTAGTTTGTCTTTTGCTACTTATGCTTTTGATGTCATATCAAAGAAGTCTATCATTATAAACTAAGTCCTGAAGCATTAGTCTATGTTTTCTTCTAGGAATTTTATGGTTTTTGTTCTTACATTTAGTTTCTCAATCTATTTTGAGTTAATTTTACTATATAACATGAAGTGTGTATCCAGCTTTATTTATTTATCTTTGCATGTGTAAATCCAGTTGTCCTAGTTGTTTATTAGACTATTCTTTCCCTATTTAATGGAGTTAGCAACTCCATTAAAGCTAAACTCCATATAGTCAAACACAATTGACTGTAGATGTGCAAGTTTATTTTTAGACTCTTAATTTTCTTTCATTGGTTAATATACCTACCATTATACCAGTACAGAATTGTTTTGATAGCATAGCTTTGTAGTATGTTCTGAGATCAGAAGTGTGAGTGGTTCTTTATTTTTCACTATTGCTTTGGCTATTTGGGGCCTTCTAGTTCAGCCACTTCTCAGAAGGAAGGTTGGGCAATCTACTTCCATAGTGATACCACCTTGGAACCCAAAGAGAGGTCGCTATGAGTTGAATCTTACTTGAAGGCAGTGAGTTTGGTTTTTTCCTATTTTTTTAGTTCCATATAAATGTAAGGACTGGCTTTTCCATTTCTGCAAAGAAGGCTGTTCAAATTTTGATGGGGCTTGCATTGAATCTATGGATTTGGACAGTATTAACATGTAAATTATATTAACTCTTCCAGTCTATGAATATGGAATGTTTTTTCATTGATTTAGGTGTTCTTTAATTTCTTTCAGTAATGTTTTATACCTTTTAGTACAAAAGTCTTTCACATTTCTGGTTAAATTTATTCCTAGATATTTTATTTTTTTTGATGGGGAATTCCTTCCTTAATTTATTTCTCAGAGCACTCATTGCTGATATGTAGAAACCTGACTGATTTTTGTGTGCTGATCTTCTTTTATTGTGCCACTTTGCTGAATTCAATTATTAGCTCAAGTAGCATAGGGCTGCAATGAGTTGGAACTGACTTGACAACAATGGGTAATGGGGTGGTAGCTTTCTTGTGTATTCTTTGGAGTTTTCTCTGTATAAGATCATGTTGTGGATGAAGTAAATAGTTTTACTTCTTTATTCACAATTTGGATACATTTTATTTCTTTTTCTTGCCTAATTTCTCTGGCTAAACCTTCCAGTACAATATTAATTAGCAGTGGTGAGAGTAGACATCCTTGTCTTGTTCCTGATATTAAGGGGAAAGCTCTTTGTTTTCCTCCATTGAATATGGTGTTAGCTGTTAAATTTTCATAAATGCCCTTCATCATGTTGAGGAATTTCT